GGGGAATCCTGGGAGTTGAAGTCCGCACATCTTAAAGTCGCCAAGGTTGAGAAACACTGGACCAGAAACTTGGATGTTAGCTTCTGAAGCATATAAAGAGATTCTGAACGTATCCATCTGTGGGTTTTCCTGCAGAAGAGCGCAAGTACTTATTTACTGATTTCTCTACAATATTTTCAGACCACTCTAATCAGCTGAGACTTTGAGCGTACATCAAAGAGGAAGCAAAACCAACTGAGAGTCAGTCTGGTGTAGCGGTTAAGGTGTTGGCCCAGAAACCAGGAGACGGTGAGTTCTAGTCCTGCCTTAGGCACGAAAGCCAGCTGGGTGACTTTGGGCCAGTCTCTCTCTCTCTCTCTCTCTGCCCAACTCATCTCACAGGGTTGTCGTGGTGGGAAAAAAAGGAGGAGGAAGGAGTACGAGGCATGTTCTCCACCTTGAGTGATTTATACAAATAATAAAGGCGGGATAAAAAAAATCTGTGTAATAAAAAAAATCGAATGCAATCGTACAATGGTGCCTAGCTACGATGGTTGTTGGAATAGAACAGCCTTTACGAAAAGCAAGTCGAAAACGGTCCAACGTACTTCTGGGAGAACGTATTGCTAGATCGAGTGCGCGCCCGAAAAGCAAAATCCGTGAAAAACAGCCGTGTAATCCTCTGCCGAGAAACCCAGCACTGACGCCTGTTCCGTGAAGATGGGATGAAAATGCTCAGAGTTGTAAGCCCACTTACCAACACCAAGATATTCGGCATGACGATATAATCGGACTCCGACCCGTTGGAAAGGTTCGGTTGGAAGAAAAACGACCGATAATTCAGAAAGGAGACGGTATTGTTGCTGTGAAAAGTGATGTTTCTCTTCTGCCTGTGCTCCCTGCAAGAGACGCAGAACCACGACGGAAAGAATCAGGATGGAAAATTGGACTTTTTTCTTTTTCGTCGGAAATGGGTTACAGTCAACTACAAGTTGCCCTTGACGAATCTGGCCATTCCATTAGGCAATGAGAAAAGACAGAAGCCACCATTTAAACAGAAAAGGCTTCCTTTCAAACTGCAGTTCACCAGCAATTTCCCTCCTTCTTCCATTTAAAGAAGGTCTACAGTCACCCGTGCTTGTATGAACCCCCCTGCAATTAAAATAAGTAACGGGTGCTTCAAACAGTTTTAATCCACAGAGCTTAAAGGCTGCTTTCAACACCAGCCAAGGCTGAGTGGCGTACAATTGTTTTTCTATGCAAATTTAATGCATGGACTTCATACATCTGGACGTGAGCGGGCTGCATCTTCTCTTCCTTTTCAATTTAGCTAAATTTTCAATGTAGCTCACACCCTCCGGGAAAGGGATCAGCCCTCAACCTCAGTCCAAACCTAAGGAGCCAGGCTGGAGCTAGTCTTGCATCCAAATTTAGCAGCTGCAACCGCCTGCTCTTATATAATGTTCAAGTTTTCACCAAAAACGTTGCTTTGTTTTCTGTCTTTTTTTGGGGAACTGGAAAAATCATGCATGAGTTACTTCCTCTGACCTACAGAACCCTACAGATTCCTCCACCCGTTTTTCCTCTCCTTATTTGAACCTCATAGCAATCTTGACATCTGCCTAATTATATTGGCTTGTCCTTGTAAGTGTTCCAATAGAAGAGAATATCTGCAGCTCAGGGTTGAACTGGGGAGTCCTTGGTGCTCTCTGAGCTGGGTGGCTGGCTTGCAAACGTGGTTTAGGCAATACATCTTCTCCAGCACCCAGCAACCAGATAGATATACTGGTCTAAACCACATTTGTACACCATTCAAAAGAGACAATAAAAAAGCTAAGAAGGAAACAAGAAGACCAGAACACATCCTCTTCAGCAAACAACACCCAGATAAACATCGATGAATGCCAGACAAACAAACAAGCAGAAAACAATACCCTAATCAAGGAGCCACCAAGGAGGAAACCACAGCCCCACCAACACTGGCAGGGCAAGCTACTGTATATAAACAGGGAACAAACCCCACACTTCCTAGCACTGATGATGCCACCTAGCTGGGTCATGAAACGTTTGCAAGCAAACCACAAAGTTCAGAGAGCACTAAATGCTCTAAGAACAAATACAGCCAAATCACCAACAGTAAACAAGATGATGAACTTTGGCTATGTTCCCTCTCCTAGCTCAGCCCTAGATATTGCCCCAGATAGGCTCGGTGGAAACAAATTGCGCTCCAACAGGGAGCGACATACTCCAAAAATTACTTTACAGTTTATCTTAGAGTTTAATCCCTTTGCCTGGGAATCTGAGTAGGTAAATTACTTGTTCTGATAATTATAATAAATTCTTGCGCTTATGCTGAGTCAAGAATATAAAAACAGTGACTCACATCCCTTTACTGTGGGGTTTCTTTCATAATCCCTCCCACGTGGGGAGGCTAACGATTCCCCACTTTGATCTACCAAGAAACTTCCGATGCAAAGCAGGCCGAAATTCCACCCATGGCATCGATCACGCGGCACCCTCCGAAGATGCCAAATGCGATTGTCCACAGCCACATTGTGAGTGGTGGAGCCGGCCCCTGCTGTGTGATACGAAGACGCTGCCGTGCAGAATAGGTCTCTTAAGCAACTCTTAGACTTTACGAGCATCTTCCCCAAACTGGGTTTGATGGTTTATAATAAATCTGCAACAACTAATACCTGTGTGTTTTTCCAGAGCTGGGGGTGAGATGGGGGTTGACATGGCCATCTTTTGGTGCCCCAAACTCTAGATGTAACTGACAAGTGTCTTCGGTCTACAATCTCCCCTGTCCTGACTTTAAACAGCAAACCTCGTGGCTGAAAGAATGGCCTTAATGTTGAAATGTTCCCCCTTCTTCCCCACCCTCTGCTCGGTATAATTTCTCGCCCAATTAAAACGGTTCTGGAGACGCTGAAAGGTTGCGCTCTCCGTTTGACCATTTCAATACATTCTGAACATTTGCACTTTTCCAGCCCCCAAACCGACACCACCGTGATGGTTTCTCCATAAGGAAAACTCTTGGGTGTGTGTGTGTGCACGCAATGTCTTTTCACTTTTTTAAGGAACAGATTTCTGTCCTCCACGTGAGAAAAGGGTATTGGGGATCCTACATGGGCGATACATGGAGGGCAGATTCAGTATTGTAGACTTCCGTGTCTCTGCTGTGGAAATCTAGAAGCGTTGGGTGTAAGCTGGCCGAAGAAGAGAATCTTCATTTATTTTAAACATCTAATTCTGGGAGAGAGAGAGAAAGAAAGAAAGAAAGAAAGAGAGAGAGAGAGAGAGAAAGAAAGAAAGAGAGAGAGAGAGAGAGAGAGAGAAAGAAAGAAAGAAAGAAAGAGAGAGAGAGAGAGAAAGAAAGAAAGAAAGAAAGAAAGAGAGAGAGAGAGAGAAAGAAAGAAAGAAAGAGAGAGAGAGAGAGAGAGAAAGAAAGAAAGAAAGAAAGAGAGAGAGAGAGAGAAAGAAAGAAAGAAAGAAAGAGAGAGAGAG